TCTGGCAGTTCTTTACAATAATTATTTTACATGCACATAGTGAAATTACACAGATTTTGGCATGTAAGCTTCTATCTGCTTTCAATGTTAGCATTACAATTTTTATTTAAGATGCTGCTTTGATCTTTGTTGGTTAAGCAGTAAAGTAATTAAGAATGAGACATCCTTTTAAAAAAAAGAGTCATCCTTACTCAGTGTTACTGAAGTACATGCAAATAAAAAGAAATGGCACAGGGCAGACAGTAATTACAACTACTAAGGAACTGTTCTTCATCTTGGACTCTCTTAATCCCATCTTGGGTTCACTTTGTGCTTGCAAAACAATCCTCAGAACGTCTAGAGCTACCATGACCTCTTTAACCACTCATTAATCACACTAGTATATTCTCTTTCATGATGAATGTGTTACATGTTCGATAGTTCACTTTTCACATTGATCACATAAACAACTGTCATCAGAAGGGCAGAATCATAAGTGTAGGTGATCACGGAGCAATAGAAAAGCAATTGCAAAGAAGTCAACAAGCAGATGTCCGAGCCAGCGGAGCCTAAGGGCAACGCCTTGAGAACTCTTTTATTAACTTAGCGAGGGTTACATCGCATGTTGTGAGAATTTAGATAAGATACTGGTTACCTAATCGCCACTAGGATTGGCTGGAGAAAGTCTTTGAACTTATGGGGAAAAGGGCAGAATGAGAAGGTTACCCTGCCTGCTGTCAGCTGCTGCTTCTCTGCCAGGAGTGTTTGCATGTCACTGTAACAGATAAAAACTAACAGCCTTGAGCAGAAGCTTCCCACAAAAAAGCTTCAAAGAATTGCAGTTAATTGCAGAGAAAGGTCTACAAAGTGATAAGATAACCAATGAGTGTAGTGAGATCCTTGTTAAGAGATACTTATTTGATAGCATGTTCCCATATAATATCTTTGCATGTCAGTGTTTTCCAAAACAATACTATTCTGGGGCTTGAAAATTAGTGCTGATTGATTCATACTGTTTATATGTGTTTAATGGGGCAGGGAACATATTAAAACGTGTTCAAAAAGTTCCAGGTAATAATGAGAAGAGAACTCAAAAATTTATGAGGGCTACGCCTTCCTAGTCCTTGGAAATTATCCTTATTTTAAGCTGGCCTTTTGTGTCATAGCATCAAAGTTTTTGACTTATGCCATTTATTATGCAAATCCTTAAGAAAAACCTCTCCTGCTGTTAGCTCACCTTTCAAATGCAAATCTAGACACCTTTTTCACTTGGCAGTGATCTTGTCAAACTAGAAATTTTCTCTAGTGCTATAGCAGATTCAGGACTTGCAGGGTTGAAATGTCTGTGCTTACAAAGCTTGGAAAATTTCTTTTTTTGAACTACAATTTCCATTAAAAATTGTAGTCCAAAAAACAACCAACTCACTAAACAACAAACCCTTCTCCTCCTCCTCCTCCTCCTCCTTCACTCAGCAGAGGCAGTGATGACGGTTTGCCACTTCCCTCAGGCTTTTGTCCTCTTTGTGAATTTAACTACAAAGCTCACAGTGAAGGGGGGGCATAAGGACAGAAGGAAGGAGACGAGGGATTTCCGAAGCAGCAGTGTATCTTTGTGATCCATTCCTGTCATTTTTGTTATGTGCCCTCAAGTTGCCCATGACTTATGATGACCCTATGAATGAGTCATCTCCAAAATGTCCTGTTCTCAACAGCACTGCTCAGTTCTTGCCAACTCAAGCCTGTGGTTTCCTTTAGGGGATCAATCCATCTTGTATTTGGCCTCCATTCTTTTTCCTGCTGCCCTCAAACTTTCCCAGTTTTATTGTCTTTTTTCAGAGAAGCCTGCCTTCTCATGATGTTAGACAGCATCAGGTTCAATATTTTTGGCTCCAGAGATAGTTCAGAGTTGATTTGTGATCTAGCACCCTCTTGTTCGTCTTCCTAGCAGACCAGGTTAACTGCAGTGCTCTCCTCCAGCTACACATTTCAAACAAATCAGGTCTTTTTCCTGTTAGCTTTCTTCATCGTCCAGCTTTCACACTCATACATGTTGATCAGAAATACAAAAGTGTGGATGATCTTGCTTTTGGTTTCCAGTGAAAAAATCTTTAAACTTGTTCTAGTTCCTTCACTGCTGTCCTTCTGAGTCTTAGTCATCTTCTGATTTCTTCGCTTCAGTCTCCATTTGGATAGATGATTCAACTAAGGTATACAAAATATCTCACTACTGTATTTCAATTTGTTCACTGCCAATGTCTTCATTATAAGCATTGTGAAAGTTACCATCTCAGCACATTGTTCAGTTATGTATTATGTTCCATCAAATTGGAACCAACTTGACTTCCGGCTTGACGCTGCGATGAGACAGCAAAAGGAGGATGGGGCTCTATCCCCTGGGCTGAATTTCTACCTGTTTGAGACCCCCAGGGGGTTAAAACCACCCCAAAGAGGTGGTGAAATGGGGGAGAAGCCTGTTGATCACGGGGGAACAGCAGTTACCCACGTTTGATCCAGGAAACTC